CCATTATGGACAAGTAATAATGGAATGGATCAGAACAATGCCAAGACTACCTGTACACTGCCGTCATTCTTACCAAGCGGTTGGTCGAGTTCGATACCAGCCCAAACACCCTCCTTGAATTCGGTATTCCCAAGAAATCTCAATGTTCCTTTCTTTTCGCCTGATACCACTACACGATCACCAACATCAAATCTGAAATCTTTCAGGTAGATGATGAGTGTCACATTCAATAAGGTTACTTTTGCATTCAATACGGTAACGTTTATGCATTTGACAATCACGCTCTTTCATCGAATAACGCCGATCGACTTTCCAAGCAAAGAATGCACTTCTTGCAAAGACTTCCCTAGGCACACTCTGGAATATTCCTCACTACAAACTGCATGAAATATTTGTTCCCTAATGAAAATGCACGCTGAGAAACGTATAGAAAAATTTTCATGTAAAAATAACGATCATGGAGGTGAAAGACACAGATAATTTCGGACACAACTAAATAAGTTTAAAAAAAAAAAAAAAGAACCCGAATTGTGCAGCGAAAGGATTCGTGGATACTTTATCGGAACATCCAGCATTCGATGCTGGTGACAAGGTAACACGCTCCAATTTACTCGCCTTACAAAATAAGCCATGATTGGGATCGCACTGAAATTAAGATGAAACCTTGACAAAGCGCAGTTGTTACGTTCCAAGAGTCCGTCCAAGTCCTCTACTAAGCCGCCGTTACGATTAATATGATCCGAATAAATGATTCACTGACAAAACTTCCGAATGAAGGCAATTTAATATGGTATTTATTGATCAGTGCTGATGAGTTCTATTCAAAATTAATTGAAGAGAACGATGAAGCGAATGTGAACACTTCAAAAACGAAAACCTGAAAGTAGCGCTTTCCATCCACCATTCCATCATTTTTCCCGACTGGTTCATCCAGAACGACGCCGATCCATTCGCCCGGTGCAAAACGAGTAGGTCCAATGAAAACAATATTACCAACTCGATCACCAATTTTACATCGATCGCCCACTTCCCAATCACCAACATGACTTATCGCCGATATTATTGATTCACGGCCTTAATTTTGACCACTTTCAGTAATGAATTTTTCAGTTCACTTGATGATTTGCAA